TATCTCCAGCTGGAGATACTGCCGTTACAGCACATGGTGTAGTGCTCCATTATTCTTCTTGTTGAGTAGTTTGTTAGGATTAGTCTTTACTCTTTTACCCTCCTTTGTTTTCTATTTATTAGTCTTTGTATTGAGGTTGAAGGTAAGATGAATTTCTGCAATTAATTCCAACAGGAAAGCATTTAAAAGAACAGTTAGAAAATCTGGTCCTCATCCATGCTTTTGCTTCATCCATACCTCAAGATTCAAGAATATACTGAAGAACCTAACTACATTGAATTGCAAGCGGTTTCTACCAATACTGATGGATTATCTATTAGCGGTTATAGTTGTCGGTTCACCAATTTGAACTGGCAAAATGGAGACCAACACAATAAAAAAAATGTGCAACTCAAGCTATTTTTTCGAAAAAGGAGAGATCTTAATAAAAAATAACCCCACGCCAGGACTTGCTTCTTTATAAACTTACTTATACAATATGCATCTAAGTTCTAATGGGAAGCCACCATCTAAAATTTAAAGCAAACAAAAAGAATTTATTTTCTCAACCACCTAAGAATCTGGTGCATCTGCAATGGAACTAGACCCCCAAAGTTTTACCAACTAAAACTTTGTGTTCCATTGAACTTTGTTCTTTCCATCCCAAGTTTTCTCCCTCTACTAGTATTCTGTTATTCCCTCCAAATCAGGGCATAGCAGATTTAATTAGATTAAAAATGCTTAGCAAGTATTATGCACAATATTGGGACTACTTCGGAAGTATTTTTTGAAAAGTAGGACTTAATTGTCCAGAACACCTTTTCGTAGGACTTTTCCATAGGTATGTGCTCTAAAACACCGAGCTTTTTTCAATAAGCTAACAATACTATGCATGTAGGTAGATTAGGTTATTTCCCTTAGTGCTATAACTCCATCTAGGTTTTACCCAGTTCTTATTTTTTCAGCTTTTTTTTTTTTTCACCATGGCTATGCAAAGAAAGTTCCCCAAGCACATACCCCTATGAACTGTTTCCAAAACTTGACTATCCCATGGGAAAAAAGAAAAACCAAAAAAATAAAGACATACATAGACGACACGCTTAGAGTGCTTACTTTTGCTTTTCTTCACTGCCTTCATCTACATTTTTCTCAGCTCCAGTGCAATATGGTTCTTGCCTCTGAACACAGAAGAGATGAAGGTTATCCACGAGAGCAGCTGAAAAGAATATCAGACCCCCTCCCCCCCCCCCCCCCACCTTTCTTTGTTAGTAGTGGGTAGGGCGTAATAATAAAACAAATAATTAATATAAAATGACATAATAATTACTTCTATGTTCTTTACCACCTTCATTGTTATCATTTTTAGTTTTTAAATAGTGCAGGAAGTGTAGCTTACTTTTTTTTGTTCATTCAATGTGCTTGCTTGTCAAATATAATGGACATTAAGGCTTTCACTGCAGGCAATTTGATAAATATAATCCTTAGCACAGAAACTACAGGTGCAGGGCCTCACCCACATTACATTCCTATTGTTGTTATATTGATGCATTGAGACTTTATCTTTGAACTTCCAACATATTTACTATGCATAAATATATGTATAGTAACTGGTATCCTTCGTATTTAGTCATGTCTTTCGTTAAGCAAAGAGAAAAAAATCTGAGCTTTAGATAATTTGAACAATTTTTATTAAACACTAAACCCTATCTCGCTGCCATCATTTCTTCATTAATGCTCGATTCAAATTTCAATATCATTCCCTTGGAAAAGTTACAATATCAGAAAAGAAAATGAAGATGAAAAAGAATAATCCTATCACGTTAATGTAATCACTTTTCATCTTAATTCTTAATAAAGTTGACCTTCAAATCTGTACAGTTAAATAAATCCAACAATTTTAGCCAATTATATAGTTGAACTCAAACAAAATGGCAGAAAAAAATTAGCAGTGCGGTTCATCCAGACAGAGATCAGCTTGCTATTGTTATTGTAACAACTTGGTACCACAAAAAAATAATGTTTTACTGATGTAAGTGATGAAACTGACTAAGTGAAAATTGTCAATCTACCTGCGAGGATTGAGAAATAAGTTTCCCCCATGCATCCCCAGCAAGTGATTTCAGTTGTCCCTTCTTTCCTCGATTCCTTGCTAGTCCATTCAATTTTGCTTCCTCCACATCAGTTACAGAAGCGCCTACATCTACGACAAAAAAAGTAGAAAATGATAAATATAATTTAAAAATCAACAAAAACAAAGAAAAAACCAGCAACTAAATCAAGTCAAAGCGCGTGCAGAGGAAAAAAAACACACCTATAGTTATCGGAAAATCTCCTTCCACCACCGCCGCTGGTTATTTCTTCACATCCGATTGCTTCGTACCACCACCGTTGGGCAAATAAACGGATCGAACCTCATCCCTTGCTGATTCCTTCGCCACAGAATAATAAACCAATAATCACCACTATACCCAGGATTCATCGCAAAAAACCAGAGAATCTCGAGAGAAAAAAATAGAAAAGAGAGAAGAGAAAGAAGAAGTCTAGGTTTGTGTGGGAAAAGTAGGTTGTTGCGTGTGAAATGGAGTGAAGAGGCAATAGAAGAGAGAGAGAATGTCAGAAAGAAGAAAGGTTGCGTGAATTACAGTACATCAGACAATTATGAAATGGCTAGGCTAAAATGGCTCACTCGGCTCGGCTTAGATGGCCAAATGTAGGATGAACAATGCCATCAAAACTCTCTCTTTTAGGCCCCGTTCGGGAGTGATTAAAATCCAATTAAAATTGAAAATATGGCAGTTATTGGGTCCCACCCGTCTAATAAAAGTCAACAATAACGGCTATATTTTCAATTTTAATCCGATTTTAATCCCTCCCATACAAGGCCTTAATAATGTAGGATAGGATGTAAGATGTAGGAAAATAACAATAGTGATGTGTTCTGTACATGAAATAAATTAAAGTCTTCCAACCATTCAATCACTTAATGCTTCTAGTAAATGGCCAATTGGCACAATATCCAAAAAAATAAATTACTGTCAAGTTGTTATGAAATTTGCAATGAACCGAAACATTAAAACAAAGAAGAATTATCAATTATGAGAAAGTTAATGGTTCCTTATATACCCAAGCAAAAAAGAATTCTTTGATCCATACCTTATTGATTTCAACAGCAAATAAAAAAGAGATAGTAATAATTTCGCAGACTGATTATCTCTCTAATACTTAACTTGATTTATAAATCAATAAAAAAATTATAAAAACGATAAGTGGAAAACTGTAATCTTTCAAGGAAAATCAAGAATTCTTCAACTTGGCTCTGATGCCACATGTAAGCAATTATATAACCCTAATACCAAGANTGTAAGCAATTATATAACCTTAATACCAAAATCTTTAGGATTCATGACTTTCACATATAGATTAAGTGATCAAGAAACATATCTTGAACCATAGTAATAGTTGAAAGATTTAAACCTGCAAAATAGAAACTGGTGAAATCTAGAAACCGTTCTCCCTTTTTTCCTTTCTATAATTGAATTTCTTCTTTGATGTGCTTCATTCACATTTATAGATAGAGAGAGGCAGTTTCATGGTCATAAAAAAAAAACTATTCACCTTCCATCGAAGTCATGGGCCATTAAAAAAAAACTATTCACTTTCCATCAAAGTGAACAGTTATTAAACTACCACTTCTCAATGGACCAATATAATTTTATCAATAATTAACCATCTAATATAATATTACTTGGACCAAATTAATAGGTCTTACAGTAGGTTGTTAAGTTAGAAACGAATATGAGTTTTATAAAGCAATGCTGGAGATGAGCCATATGCTGGAACTCCAAAAGGGCAAGGAATGAGTGAAGAAATAAGTTGTTGCAGCTTATATTCTATCATGGAAACTCAAAAGTGTATGTATTATGCCTGAGTAAAAATGATAAACCCCTACCAAGGGTAAGTTTTTGAATTTTGGCCAAACCAAGTACAAAGAAATTTGAATTCTTTGCCAAAGCGGGTAAGGTATGACTTGCAAAAGCAAGGAAAAGTGTTGTAAACATTGCAAGGTCAATAAAAATTCAAATTTTCAAATAAAGGAAGGAGAGAATTTGAATTAGTTTCCCAAACAAGTGAAAAACAGCAAGACAAAAACTTGAATCTTCAAGAGTTCATTAAAACCGGCTTGATGGTTCCAATATACCAAGAACAACCATGAATCTTCAAGAACATAAACTTCCAAACATCCAAGAAAACTGGATGATTAAAGTGCTTAAGCTGCTGGCCGGACTTCAAGTGATAGGATTCAAACATAAACCTAGGGTTGGGAAAATTCGACCAAAGAACATAATCTGCCAACAAAACTGAACCTGGATCGCAGCTGAACAATAAATTGCACCGGCCGAACTCACCATAAACTGTAACAAATTCGCAACAGCCCCTAGTAGGCTAGAATTGAACATCACCAAAGATGAGCACCAAGAAAACTGGGCAAAACTATTATTGAAACTGAAATGCTCTTATACTAGTGTGTTGTGAGAAAATAAGAAATCAAGTACAATATGAAGTAATTGATCACAAGAATATAAGAATAATCTTGTTGGTTCCAGAATCAAGATTCACATACAAAAAATATAAAGGCAGAAAAACAAAAATTGCAGAAACGATCTTACACACATATTTTTCACCCCTTAGGGCCCGGATGTTCAGTTTGAAAGCCTACTCACCCGTTGAACATCTACAAAGTAGATTACGCTCGAATCCACTAAGAATCACAAAGAACAATTATAGAATGTATGAAGAAATTGAAGATATTACAGAGATCAGAACCAGAAGATCATAAGAAGATGAAGAGATGAAAACACACAAAGAGAAGACAAAGGAAAACTCTAGAAAATATCACACTACAGTTACAATCGAAGAGTCGAGAAGAGGGTTATAAAACCACTCTTAACATATTTCATCCAATGGTCCAAGGTATGCCAAATGTGAGGCCAAGATCAGTCCATTTAAACAAACAACCCGTTGGCCCAATTAAACAGCAAAGCCCAAAGAAAGAATAAAGAGGCCCAATAACACAGAATAGAGAGGCAGCCCATAACAATCTCCACCTTGCTGATCTATTATTGGTATTCTTTGTGGATTCAAGTCATAACTACACTTGTTTCATTTGCTCTAATGTTCATGTAAAGAAAAACAATCAGTTTGTATTAAAGACAAAATAAAGTAGATATAGAATTTAACTAAATTCATTACCTTCAAGATATTTCAGAATTTTCAAATAGTTTCTGAATTTGTTTAAAAGTAGTACCTTGGTACCAAAACTAGAAGGATTAAACTCAATTGGAATTTTAACTAGATTAATCAAACCCCTTTCAAACATGTTTCTAACAAAGTGAAAATTTAATGTCAACATGTCCTATCATGAAATACAAAATTCCTACTTAAATGAATAGCACTTTGATTATCTGTATAGATTCTAACTACTTCATTCATGAAACCAGTTTCATTTAAAAGACCCTTTAACCACAGTTCTTCTTTAACAGCATCACAAGCTGCAATGTATTCAACTTCTGTGGAGGATAATGCTACAATCTTTTGCAATGGAGATTGACTAACACAACCATCACAAAGAGTGGAAACATAAGAAGATGTAGATCTCCTCCTGTCTAAATCACTTGCAAAGTTAGAATCAATGTATCCTTTTAGGATAACACCTTCTTTACATTTTTGAAATCTTAAACCCAATTCAGTTGAACCCTTTAGATACCTTATCATCCATTTAATAGCTGACCAATGTGTTTCACCTGGATTAGCCATAAATCTACTAAGGATACTAATACCATGAGCTAAGTCAGGTCTAGTACAGATCATAAGATACATAATCCAGCCAACGACATTAGCATAAGGTATCTTATTCATCCTATCATATTCTTCATCAGTTTTAGGGGATTGTTCACTAGAAAGTTTGAAATGATTAGTAATAGGCAAAGTCACAGATTTGCATTCAGTCACGGCAAACTTTTCAAGTACCTTATTTACATAAGAGTTTTGATCCACATACAAAACATAATTTTTCCTATCTCTTTTGATTTCCACGCCTAAAATTCTTTTAGCTTGTCCTAAATCTTTAGTTTCAAATTCAGCCTTAAAACTTCTTTAACAGACTCAATTTCAAATTTATTATGGCAAACAAGAAGCATATCATCAACATATAATAGATTCAGGTCCTCCTGACCCTTTGAAGAAAAAACAGGGATCAAAATTAATCTTAAGGAACCCCATATTCTGAATATGGGAATATAATTTCTTATTCCATTGTCTTGGAGCTTGTTTTAGGTCATAGAGGGATTTCTTTAACAAACAAATCTGCTCAGATTTTGAGTTAAGTTCAAAACCTTTTGGTTGATACATGTAGATGGTTTATTCAAGATCCCCATTTAGAAAAGTAGTCTTAACATCAACCTGGTCTAATTCTTAGTTGAAATGAGCAGTTAAGGCAAGCGGAATTCTGATAAATGTGTACTTTGCAATAGGTGAGAAAATTTCATTATAATCAATACATTCTCTTTGTGTAAACCATTTTGCCACAAGTCTGGCCTTGTATCTTTTACCCAAAGTATTAGGTTCACCCTCTTTAATTTTACAAACCCACTTATAGTCAACAATCTTTTGGTTTTGGGGTTTCTCAACAAGAATCCATGACTTATTTTTTATTAGGGACTCCATTTCTTCTTGCATGGCTTCTAGCCAAAGTTTGGATTCTTTACTGTTAACAGCTCCTTCAAATGTTGTCGATTTAGAATTAACAGATTCAAGTTCAGAGTAGAAAGTTACAAATTCATCAGTGTTAATTTTGGTAGAAGGAAACCTATTCCTTCTACTCCTATATCTGGCCAACTGATAATTTCCAAGAATAGTATCCTAAAATTGTTCTTCAGTATCAGATTCATTTTAAGGCTAATCTGTTTCAGATTGAGTAGTCTCCACCTCAGTCAAATCATCAAGTTCAGTAAAGTTAAATTTCAGATTTTCCAGTACAATTTCTTTAACAGGAGTAACATGATCAGTATTTTGATTTGAGGAGTCTTTACAAGGAAACCGACTTTCATCAAAGATCACATTTCTGCTAATGATAACGCTGAACCCATCTTTTCCTCTTACCCAAAGTCTATAACCCTTAGTTTTTTTCTCCATGACAAAAAAAAAAACACATTTTTGAGATCTGGGTTCAAGTTTGCCTACATCTTGATGAGAGTAGGCAGCACAGCCAAACACCTTAAGTTTAAAATAGTTTGGAGACTTTCTAGACCATAAGTGTTCAGGGATTTGAAAATAAATAGCACTTGAAGGAATTCTATTTATCAANAGACTGGAATCAAGGAAGCTTAGTTTGTTTAAATATATGCATCTAGTGTAGTTTTGATGATGTTGTAATTGATATATAAAAAAGAGAATTTTGTGACACTTTTAGGTTAATTTATCTTTAGCCTTTAGTGAGGAACAAGGTCCTATAGTTGCATAATTAATCTTCAATGGCAAAGATTTTTTGAACGGTCATGAGGCCCTTTTGAAGCGTTTCACCTTCAAGCTTTTTGAGAACTAGCTCAAGTTGAGTAGTAGTTTCATAATGTTGGATGTGCAAGAGTACAAGATAATTTAAAATCACATCTAAATTGAACTCGAAATTGGCACAAATGTTCTCTTTGGCTCTTGTGAAATTTTGGTCCATAACGTTTTTCTTTTGACTATGATGTACTAACTTAGAACTTGTTTGGGAGGGATTTTAATCTTGAAAATATAATCGTTATTGAGTCCTACTCGTCTAATAAAAGTCAACAATAACGACTAATTTTTCAATTTTAATCTGATTTTAATCTCTATCAAACACACTCTAAAGGTTCAACTTGCAATGTGAATATCCCATTGGATCTAAGAGAAGAAATTATTTCTTTTGAGTTAAGACTTATAAGACCTTTATGAATCCTTATTTCATATTCATCATCCAGTTGTCCCAAAGAAATCAAGTTTCTTTGAAAATCAAGAACATACCTAGTCTGAAGCAACTCAAGAGTGTGATTATTTTCTAATAAAAGCTTAAGGTTTCCAATACCTTTTATTTGACAGGTCATATTATTACCCATCTGAACTTGACCTCCACTTAGATCAACAAAATCAGTGAACCGTTCGCTAATGGGACACATGTGAAAGGAACGGTCGGAATCAAGAACCCATTCATTTAGGTTTCTTTTAGTTGTAGTAACAAGAACAATTCCATGTATATCAGATTCATTTATGCAGGCAATATCTGCAGACCCATCTGTATTGAATTTTCCTTTCATATCAGATATTTTCCTGAAGTAATCTTTTATGAGATGTCAATAATAACATTTTCTTACTTGAAGCTTGGGTTTTGGTTTGTTCTTATTCTAATTCTTGAACATAGGAAATTGTGATTTTCCTTTCTTATGGGAATTAAAATTGAATTGATTCCCCTTGTTCTGATTTACCTTTTCCCTAACATTCAGACCTTCCCCAAACTTAAAGTCATTAACTTCAGTTTTTAATTCAAGTTCTCTATTTCTTAAAGATGATATAACAATATCAACACTAAGATCAGTTCTCCCATACTTTAAAGCATTTCTCAGTTCTCTATATTTATCACCCAGTACATTCAACAGGGAATTTATCAATGTTCTCTTCTAAACTAGAGGAGGGATTAAATCTAAAATTGTAGAATTCTCTGAGAAGATAACATTTGTTGGGCATGGTTTTAGTTAAATAGAGAGATTCTAGCTTGGTCCAAAGACCCTGAGTATTAGTAGTTTCCCCAACCTTTCTAATTACAGTGTCAGACAGATGAATAAATATAGAACTCCAAGCAATCTCATATAAATTCAATACTCCAAGACCCATCGATGGCAGTAGCACACCTCTGTTGGAATAACAAAGCTCTCATTTTTTGATGTCTCAAGTCCCTCTCCAAATTTCTACTTCAAATTTATGTGCAGTGGTCATGATTACAAACAAACTCACATATTCAAATTTATACACCACACAGAGTATAGCAGATATAGACAGTGTAATGAAAGTTAAGAAACATATATTTACACAAGAATTAGTCTAAATGTACATAATGCTTTACCAAATGGATTACACCCCCTCACATGGAGGGGGGTCCACACACAATAAAATATTCGTGGGCCCACTCCATGTGAAGAAGGGGTGTAATCCATTTGGTAAAGTATTGTGTGTACATCTAGCATATCCCTTTACACAATTATAGCAAGATAAACACTGATCAATAAGTGCAAATTTATCAAACTAAATAGTCAATTTGACAGGTTTAAGGAGTGATAACCCTTAATTCCTCTACTCCCTCAGATTCTCAGATCCTCAAATGAGATCTTGGACAAAGGAAAATATAGGAGGATTAATTACCTTAATAACCAAATCAAAAGAAGATAGAACAACTTTAATAATTGACTGAGAAATAAGAAGAGTACAGAGAATTATACTAGAGCTGAAACCTCAATGTTTCAGAAAAGAGAAGTATAGTAGGAAAGCACCAACAAGTCAGTTATCCAGAATAATGCACAAAGTACCAACGAGTCACAACAACTCAGTGTGACCAGGAGTGAGTCAAGAAAAACTAGCAGGAATCTGAGTGAGTCGGATCAACTCACTGTCACTCAGAATGAGTTCTCAAAGAAACCACAACTCAATAATGAGTCAAACACCATAACACCAAGAAACTCAGTGAAAAACCAGATTTTTAAAAGATCAGTACCAAACCAGTTTGGTTTTACAAAAAACCACCATCGATTAAAAAAACTTGATGATCAGACACTAAGAATCAGAAAATAATTAAAAGTCTGGTACCGAGGCTACAATTTTCCCTATTATAAATATTGAAATGATAAATTATAATATTTCATAGTAATTAATATTTATACTAAATAAAAAAAAAAATTGGTATTGAAAAGTATTAAAGAAGACAAGCTAAAATTTTATCCATGGTATGAACACAGCATTACTGCATAACCACTGTACAAACAAAAATTCCCAAGGATTATTTTTTTGACAGAATACATGTTCCAGTGAAACCGGCTTCAATTCAATTTTGAATATTGTACAAGAAACAACACTTCATTGATCCCATCAAGAGAGCTCCGTTTCTGACAGGCCAGTCGAACATTCAAAATGTCAAATTACACCTCTCTTAGAATGGGCCAACCTTTCCTTAAAATGTCATTGATCTTGGCATCAATATGCCTTTGCATTCTTGGTGGGCAAAGCTCAGCTGCATATCCATTAAGTTTTGCTGCAAGGCTAGATCTCTCGAGCTCTTCTGCAGGCAAGTTCCCAATCAACTGAAGAAGGAATGGATTCCGTTTGAGCTCAAATTTCTGGAGATCAACATAAAAGAGTGTGTCACTCCCATTATTATCCTAAAGAATAGTAAGATAATTTGATCCTCAAGGATAGGACTGGGGGAGGGCCTTTTTGCCAAAACCAGAGCCAGACGAAAACGCCTGGTTCGGGTTGGTTCTTGCAAGTAGAAATGCATCACAGTCTGAATACCAAATAATAAGGCACGTGCCACATTAATGAATAACATGCTTAAAAGGAAGCTTTCAGATAAGGTGCAGGAAGAACTTCTGATATGATATATACTACCAGTTATCACTTCACCACATAAAAAGCCAACTTTAATCTCTTTTAAAGTAATACCCATCCATTGAACTTTGAATCATGACCATAATATTTGTAAGATGTTTCAAATGAAGGTATAAGGGATACCAAACCTGATGTTCGGGCTCTGCAGGGTAAAATGTTCCCAGCTGTTGAATTTGTGTGGTCACCACACTGATCTTTGACCTTGTTTGCTCCCTTTCTTTACTCTGAGCAGCCAATCCAGACTCTTCAGTTCCATCAGTAAATATTATAGACCTGATCCAGGTAAAACGATTTACTTTGTAAGCGTGAATTTCAGCTTTCATTTCAAGTACGTGTGCACTTTAATTCAAGAACTACTGTAGATAACCAGCACCTGTATTGATTACCCACATCGGGCCCTTGCCCAAATACTTGCCTAGAATCATGACTAGTCCAGAACACCTCCAATAGTTGTCTAAAACTAATACTCCTGGGATCATATTCAATCTGCATAACAAAATGAGACTACATCATATTATATATGCATAACAGTCCAAAACACATTTGCAGGGAAAAAACGATATCCTACAAGAACTTATAACTATGTCCTCAAATGAAATTTTAGGTCACACAACAGTTCACTGCTGCAATAGAATATGCAACTCTGGTTATCAGCTATTTATTCAGGCCATATAGAGTGCTGAGGTGGGCACAGCTTCTATTGTAGGCAATAAAGGCGGTCAAACAACTATGTCCACATATAAACAAAATACACGATTCCACGATACCCTATTCCAGTTCTTCCGCAGACACTGTTGACAGCCTGGCAGACCTATTAACTAGACTCGTGTAATGCAAGTTCAGCTACACCATCATTTATCAGAGAATGGTAATTGCCTCAGATGACCTAGGTCATTTTTACCCACATACGCTGATACGTCTTCTGTGAAGAATAATAGCTTAGCTTTTATGATAACCTTCTAAAAATATCGCAAATAGTTTGTTTTGAAGAAAATCGTAACTTTCTAAACAATTTTTAATGCATCGACCACTCAAAAATAGCTGATTTATTTTATATATATATATATATATATATTTTTTTATTTTTTTTTTTTTTTTTTTTTTTTTTTTTTTTTT